CTGGTTTATCCATCCATTCATTAAAAGATGTTTGAGTACTATTTTCTTCTTAAAGAATGTAAGTCAAATGATAGAACTCCTCTACTCAAAATTTCCATATAACACAGAGTAGAAGCTGAAGTCCTATCAATAGCCTAAAAGTCTCTGCATGATCTCCATCCATTTCTCCCCTGACCTGACATCCTCCCATTCCCCTCCCTGCCTCCAGAATGCCCACACAACCTTTCTAGCCACAGTGAACCTGCTAAGCATGCTGTTTCCCTAAGCCTGTTGCAGTGGCAGTTGCTTTTGGCTGAAACAGGTACCTCCATTGCTCACTCCCTTACTCCATTCGTGATGTTGCTTCATTGTTCCCTTTGCATTGAGGCCTTGTATGAGCATCCTATTTACAATCGTCTCCTATCTCAGCACCTCCACTCCTCTTACTCTACTCTATGTTTTTCAAATCGTCTATTATTTTCCAACTGTCTATAATGTACTTGTAAGGCATATAACTTACATACATTATGTTTATTTATTGTCTGCCTCTTCCTCCCCCTACCTCCACTAGAATGTTTTATGAAATTAAGAATTTTGTGTGTTTTGTTTATTAATGCATCCTCGGCCCTAGTTCAGCCTGGAAGGTAATGAATACTCAATACGTATTTGATGAATGGTTCTGTTGATGACACGTGCAAACCTGCGGAGTACGAGTCACCTAGCCGAGGGCCACACAGACCAAGGCTCTCAGGGAATGTTCATGTGCTTCTCCCCTTCATACTCCTCCACTTATCCAGCTTCCGTGTCTCCTTTCCTTCCTCTCCAGTCCATTGACAACACTCCTCATTCCTTCTCTAACCTCTTCTCATCATGATGGTAAACAGGTTTATCATCCTGTTGATTACCAGGTTTACCATTGTCCAATGTAGTGGGGCCTAGCTTTTCTGGAGAGACGAAAGCACATTATCATTGCATCAAACATATTTATATATCTATCTATAACGGTTTCCTTTTTTGAGATGGAATTTCGCTCGTTACCCAGGCGGGAGTGCAATGGCGCGATCTCGGCTCACCGCAACCTCCGCCTCCTGGGTTCAGGCAATTCTCCCCCGCTCAGCCACCTGAGTAGCTGGGATTACAGGCACGCGCCACCATGCCCAGCTAATTTTTTGTATTTTTAATAGAGACGGCTTTCAACACGTTGAGCAGGATGGTCTCGATCTCTTGACCTCGTGATCCACCCGCCTCGGCCTCCCAAAGTGCTGGGATTACAGGCATGAGCCACCGCGCCCGGCCCTGTAACGGTTTCTTATCTATCCTCTGGCTTTATTCTGGAAAGAATATGTTGAATTTCAGTTTTTGAAGTATGATTATAGAAAAATAGAGTTTAATGTACTTCTTACGCACAACTGCACTGATTTTAGAATTTAGGATCCTAAGAAATTAGGCCAATCACTGAGATCATTAAATAACATATTTCAACCAATGTAAGATGCAGTACATTGGAAATTGCACCACTACTTTGTTTACCACTATAAAGGAAAAAGTGCTACTGATTACGATGCAATTCTTTCTGAAGATTTAACACTTGATTTTCGCTTTTCAAGTAAATATGTAATTTTCGTCATTTCTCCAAAAACAAATATTCACTTTTCTAATATCAAATTTGTGCCCCACTGCTATTCTGTGTCTTTCTATGAACATATTAACATTTGCTTTAATGCAGAATCATAATCTTTCTAAAGATCTTTTAAGTAGCAATTAAACACCTGTTTTAACAACCAGGCACGTAATTCAAGTGAAGTGATGTCATCATTAGTGGTTGTGATCAAGTTCAGAACTGCACAGGCAGGGATAACTAACAGGCAGTGGATTAAAATGTACACTGTCATTTAAGAGACATTAAAATCTAAAAAAAAAAATGTGTTTCAGTGTCAATTAAGTAAGTCAGTAATTTAGGAATCCACGTAGTTGTTTTCTCCCCATAGAAGAAAGCAGATAAAAAGCAGTGTCACTGAAGACTTGAAGTGAGCTGTGATTCTTCACAGGAGTTGGTGAGCTGATTTTGCTCAGGGGCTATGCTGGGCCATCAGAAAGAGCAGCTGGCATTCTTTTGGGTGGGAGAGGGCTTAAATTTTTAAGGAAAATGACCCCCAGGCTGTCATTTGGAAATCGGGGCAGATCAATTGTTTGAATGTTCTCCTGTACATCACACAAGAGTGGCCTCCCTAAAATATCCACTTAATGGGCCAAGTTCACCCTCTGGATGTGTGTGGGATTAATTAAATTTCTCGTGCCTATGTATTTTTTGGACCTATTGTCAGAGTGTTGCGTTTCCTTCACTTTTCTCACTTTCTTCAGCCATTTCTGAAAGCTCCTGAAGGCTCATGATGAACTTTACCATTATTCAGAGTATTACACACTCATTTATTATTCCATAAATAATAAATCAGTAGCCACCACTTCCAGAGTGCCTCGACGACTGTCATTGTGCTAGACATTCTATTTATATTACTGTATTGTAATATACTGTATTGCTCATGACAACCCTCTGAAGTATTGTAATTGCTCCATTTTAATGAAGACAAAAATGGAAGCTTAGAGAGGACTGATAACGTCTTCAAGACCATACAGAATCAGAGTGAATCAGTTTTGAAACCCAATCTCTTTGTAATTAATAGCAACTTTTTTACTTTCTGTATAAGATATTCATGAAAGTGATAAAATAAATATACATTCAGTGAAGCAGAGAATATCTTTTACAGTGGGGCTTTTAGAATATTATGCGTTTATTCTAATGGCTCTTCTGTTATTTAGGACTCTTTGGGGACTCCTCTTTGGAACTCTGTTCAGGACTCATGTTTTGAACATACTTTTTAATGGGCACTATTTATCCTTTGAGGTCATATTTTTGTGCTTATCCAAGGACCCTAATGAGGCAGGTTTGCTGACTAAGATGGAGAATGACTGTGATCCAATGGGTGATATGGTAATTTTCATAAAGAAATGGCCACAGTTTCCTTGAGTTGGCTGTAAACCAAAGCAGAGGCATTCTAGGAATATATTCGGATTTTCCTTGTGTGATGATGATTTGAAGGATGTAAGATACTTATGGAAATGCAACTACTAGATGTTAAAAAACAGCCAGAACCCACATCAACTTAATTTATCAACATTAGCCACAGGTTTTGTTGGTACACACCAGGGATCTCCAATTGGCTGTTCAAGGCAGGATATGGCTCTGGGAAGTATTTTGTGTCATCCTTTCACTGCACCCCCAGAGTGTGTTAACAGGTTATGTAATTAGGCAGATTTTAGGATTGGTGGCAATATACACGTTAGCCACAATTGTCCTGTATCTGCCCACCCAGTGTGTTTGTATTAATCCCACTCCCTCTAAGGGCATTTGAGCTTTTGATCCCTCCATCTTCATACCATTTATTTCCAAAGGAACTTTGAATACTAGGCATTCCTCTGCTAAAAAAAAAAAAAAAAAATCTCTTTGTGTATTTCATGTCCTAGTTCAAACACCCTTTCAGCCACTCCCAACTGAAACTGCTTCTTTCTTTTTCTGAATTTCATAAAATTTCTGTGAACTTCACTTGGCACTCCCAAACAGCTGACTTCTGTTACAGTTTTTTTTTGTGAATAGTCCTCCTCTCAATTGACAGGGTGTGTCTCTACCAGCAATCTTGCTCTTGGGGAAATGGGGCTTGGGTTTTTCCAAGAGATCCATTCACTTTTTGAAACAGCAGAAAACAGTCCAAGCATTTTTCTTATTTCCCCGTTTTCTTCTTGTTTTTTTGACAGGCCTGCTTGCTTTGATTTGGAATCTAGTCTTGGGTTCTGATGCTTGCTATTGACTGACTAGTTTCGAAGACTCTCTTAACTCAAAACTAGATTTCGAGTGTTGACTTATCTCTGGTACCACATTAACTCTAATCTCTGCTTCTCGGAATATGACTCTGGGCTGCCCTCCCCTCATGTTGGGGCTGCTACCCAAAATGAGCCATACTTACGGCCTAGGAAGAACTGGGGCAGAACTGAAGATGGGAGTCCATGGAGAATCCACCTTGGTGGCTCCCCCATACCCAGCACTGGTTTTTGTATAGGCAGGTCTTTAATAAAAATGTGTGAATGGAAGAAATTTTAAAAATAAAGCAGTTATGGTAGCATCTCACAATGTGACAAAAGTATTTTCCCAATTAATAATGGATGCACTTCTTCTTTAGATGAAGTGTCGTGGTAGATGCTGGATTCAAAGGTAAAAATATTTGGTCTCTTTCTTCAAGAAATTTGCACTCTTCTGGCATTTGAGAGTTACAAGGAAAGTCTGAGTGGTAAATTTGGACAGAGATGACAGATAACTCATTACATTGTGAACCTTAGTCCTAGGTCCAGTTCCAAACAAATCTTGAGTATATTAAGAGGGGTTACCGTTTCTGCACCGGAAACGTTCTCACTGCTAGCAGTGGAATAATGGAAGAGGACGGGCTGGGTGAAGGATGTGGCAAGGGATAAACACAAAACCCATCTGAGTCATGAGCAGATTCCTGGGGCTGCCCATTTCCACCTCTTTGTTAAAGTTTTCTGGGATTCTGGTTAGAAAAGGAGTTTTCCACATGGGGTTAAAAAATTATGACACACCCCCTAGAAACTATACTTTTTTATTGGCTTGGCATGACTTTTAAGGTAATGCAAGCCGCTGTGACAGGCAACTGAAGTTCTGTTTTTTTTTTGGGAAATGAGAACCCAGTCTTACCAGTAAGCCTGAGCTTTTAAATCATGTCAGTTGATGGTATGATCAACTTTTTTTGATTATGAAGCAAGCTCTAAAAAATAAAAAAAAAATAGAACAACCAAAGTAATCTTCCTCGATACAAACTGTAAAGTATCTTTCATAGCACCTCATTGGACTGGTGGCTTTGAGGGCTATGTTAAGTAGGTTATCCTCTCATCTAACCAGCACTAGTATCTCTTGGGCTGCTGTGAGTGACACACGCTGAGTGGGGTGAAGGGAAATGCTGGTGAATTGCATTTTGAGGTGTGGGCTGCTGTTAGTCACTCTGTCTCTTGCCATTGCCAGGCACAGGCAATCTTCCTTCAGCAAAAGTTGTTACCCAAGGGGGACACTGTCCCAAGCTGTTGACGCTCTCCATACCAAAGCGGCATGGCTCAAAGCAACGATTCCAGTAAGTATTAGGCTCTACTTAAAATGATGACCGCAAGGACACTTACAGTCTGGGACACAACTTATTTCTTTTTGTTTTATTGTAGGAAGACCGCATTAAAAATATACGATTATTAAAAAAGAACACAGAAAAGCAATTTATGGTAAGCCAGAAAGTCTTTTTCTTTTTTTACATTTCCACTTATTTGAGGTTTATTTCCCCCTGCATTTTAGTTTTTTTTTTCCAAAGAGTAACTAAGTAATGATCAGGGGGGCATTAAAAAAAGATTCATAATTTACCATATGCAATTTCTTGTATCTTATTTGTAGAAAAACTGCCAATTTCAAGAACAGCTTCTGTCCTTCTTCATGGAAGATGTTTTTGGTCAACTCCAGTTGCAAGGTTGCAAGAAGATTCAATTTGTGGAAGACTTTCATAGCCTTAGGCAGAGATTGAGCCACTGTGTAAGTACACACAACAAATACCGTGCATTTGATCCTAGAAACCTATTTAGAAATCAGCATGTAAGAAGCTGTCTACACACCAAAGGGTGAGTAAAAGAAGCTTTGTAACTGTTGGCTTGTAGTTCAAATGGAAAGGTCATCACCAGGGAAATAGCATCAAATAACTGTGCATCACTCGGAATGCTGTTATTTATTATTTCTTAAAGAATGGCTCATAAAGCACACTGAAGAGAGCTAAAGTAACATGAAATGGTTTTCAAATAAGTACTTTAAAATCATTCTCTCATTATGTGATTCCCGAGTAATTCATTCATCCATTTAATACTTCCTGAGTACCAACTTGGTGCAGAACCCTATTTTAGTTATCTTTCTCTCCCTTCCTTCCTTCTTTCCTTCCTTCCTTCCTCTCTCCCCCTCATCTATCTCTCCCTCCTTCCTCTTTTCTTTTCCTTTCTTTTTTCCCCTTTTCTTTCTTTATCTCTCTTTCCTTCCTTCCTTCTGTCCCATAATAACGAGAACTTTCTGATGTCCTTTTTCTTATTTACTTATCCTTTAAAAAAAATATTTGTGCCTTTTTTAAGGCATAATCTCAGTAAAAACTTAAAAAGGGATAGACATGCCTTCTTTGGTACCTGAATTATTTGATGCCCCAGTATGATCACTGTCACAGCAAGCAATGGAGAATTAATTAAGAAGGTAAAGGTGATCACATTTCTACGAAAACTTCCACAGCTTTAATGACCAGTGCAGAAAACAAAACACAACAAAAAACACCGAGCAGGAATCTGTGCATTGTTGAGTTGCTTCTATGGGGAGTGTTGAAGCTTTTCTGTGCCCTTGGCTGGGGTCCAAGTGTGCTTTCTCCAGCCTCCTGCAGTTGTAGCTTGCGGATGGTACAAAGGTGGGGTGGGAGCCTTATTGCAGTCCTTGGGAAGCCAGTTGGAAAGGAGCTCTCCGTCCTGGGCATCATGGTCACAGAGACTTAAACTGGGCCATTAGAGATGGGTGTTTTATGTTTTAAGAGTTAGGATGTGTTTTTCCTTGTGGTTAACTAAAGTGCTCAGTAACCCAAATTTCAGCCCAGGGTACCTGAGGCATTTTATGAATGTCAGCTGATCAGTTAGGTTTAGGGCAAAGCAAAGCAAACAAACGAAAAAACAAAGCCAACACATTTAAGTTCTGAATTTCCTTGGTTCGTTTGTGTTTGTTATATACTCATTTAGGTTTGGATTGCACGGTTTTTCATGAACTCTCATATTTTATTAAAATCACAACAATGATAAAAAAAATTACAAACTGATACCTCTTTTCAAAACACAGGGAGAATTCTCTGGGCCAGTTCCCTGGCCTGAAATTTTGTTCTATACTTAACCTATAAGATTACCTTATGAAGACAGTACATATGTAGCTATAAATAGTCTCATAAATATAAGTTGCATTGTTAAATTCTTGCCTGATACAGTACAGAGTGTCTGGTTACCCAGAACCCCCAAATCCATGTCAGGTTTTTACTACTAATTTGGTTTTGTTAGTCCAAATAGCTAGAGAACACATAGCAACAGTTATAACCTAAAACGAGCAATAGTCTAGATGAAAAGCTTAGGAAACCTAGATATGTCTAGGAACTCTGGTTTTTCTTGGTTTGTTTCTGGGGAAGCTTTTTCCTAAAGGGTCCCCAGTGGGTGGGACAGTGTGGTGCCGCTCAGGTTGGTTGTTGCTACTTACCAAAGTGTCTGGCTCCCTCCTGTGGCCCAATACAAACACATCATCTGATCAATCTCATGCAACCCCTAACTCATGCTTTCCTTCTTCCCTCCTCCCACTGCCAGCCTATCAGTGTCAGCATAAGTTATTTCACAAGCTGTGAAGTTTATGCCCTGGGGTAAAGCAAGCTCGCCTGTAAAATATAAAGCAACAGGATTGGCCTGAGCTTTAGAAAGACTCTGCATACATTGATTTAGGGGAAAAGGTAACTGGCCTGGTGTCTAATCTGTCAGTCAAACATAATTATATATTTCTGGCAACAGAAGCTGGTATCTCTCTGTTTAATACAAATTAACTGAGCATCTACTCTATGAAGTTCTGAATTAGTGGTTGGGAGAGAGTTTAGCAGACAGAAGTTATAAAACATAAAGTAAACATTAATTTAAATATATATATTTTAATTAAAAATGGACACTAAATGTAATTAATGTATAAATGGCCAACCTATAGAAACTAATTATACTTGCTGTATTTCCCATGCTGTCCGTACTACTAAGGTTGTTGTGGAAAAAGTAAGTGAAACAAAGCTCTGGGGATTCAGAGCAGGAGTGGTCGAGTCCCTTCTTGAAAAGAGGGACTGTGAGAGGGGGCCCTCAGTTGTGCAGGCTCCGAGTTTTAGCAAGTTTTTTGCAGGACCTTGACAGATTTCAAAACTGGTCCAAGGCTTCTTCCATGATCTGGAGACAGGAGGAAATAGCCCACTCTGTTTCCAGGAGGCGGTACTCTGGATAATGCTTAGGTTAGTATAATGCTATTTGCCAAGTAGGATTTTGAGGGGTTGATTGAGCAATGAATGCCGCATTGGTAGTGCTGCTCCAGAGTTAAATGCTGTCTGTGTTCTGAACAGCTGATTTACACACAGAATTTTGGCACACAGCCTACTTGCTTACTCAATGTGTGCACTTAATATTTGAAATTATGCCAACAATAAAACATTGGTATGTGTTCTTCTGAAATTTCCCCCCAAAACTTGGAAATAATTTTTAAAAAGCAAAACATATGATATCGATAGCATTACATCATTTGAAGAATCCAGTAATTATTTATTTTGTATCTTAATACATTAAAGGTAATAGTAAGGATTACTGCAGCTCTTTATAAATTGTTAGTTTGTGAATGGGATTTTTAAGTGCTCCTATCTGTGTACATGTTTTATTTCTGTTGAGAATTTAACGGGTATCAGTTGTTAAAAGATGCTTACTTTGCTGAAGTTGCAAAGACATTTTAATTAGTGATGGAAACTTTTTTTCAGATAGTGATATTTTACCAAACAGGCTGTGACTCTGGTTGGATTTGTTGATTATGTGCTGAATTAGGTGAACATTGTCACATATCAAAAGCAAATACTAAATTCTTCCTTTAAAATTTACAGTAGCCTTCCCTGGTGGGTTTAATAGGAACATTTGGGTTGGGAAAATATTGCAATTCCAATGATGAAATACTTATGTACTATATTACCAAATCTCATTACCTTGGAATATAACCTGGATTATATCTGAGTTATCCTTGGTGGGCATTATTTTGTATCACCAGAAAGAAAAACTCAAAGATATATTCTAGTATAACCCGGAATTAGATACTGGATTACATGTTGTCTGGTGGAGATGATCAGTATCTGTTTCACTTGCAGTTGCCTTACATGGAGCTGTATGGTTTCTGGCTACAGATAATATTACTCTTTTGACATGCATATCATCAGCCCACTATTGAACATTTTTAGGTGTTAGATAGTTCAAAATTCAGATGTAAAAGTAAAATGCCCTTGGTGAATAATGGTCCTACACATCTCTCTATCATTTATTCTTTTTTATTCCTGTTTATAGGCAACATTGTGTCACCCATTACTATTTGATAAAGGCAATGGAATAAGTAATTATCACATTTTGAGGGCATGCATTTGCACTTGATGGATATTTACCAAATGGCTGGGACCACGTGGTTTCCTTCCTTTACTCCTTTCTTTTTCCTCCCACCCCATCCTCTTTTCCTCTAATATACTTAAAAAACAGTCCACGTGCCTGCTCCAGAACAATTGCCAAATGATGAATTTGTCGATAACCAAGTTGTTGAATTATTTTTTTCTTTTATTTATTTAGTTTTAGTGACTAGCTTTGTTTTGTCCTCATAAGAAGAAGCTTTCATGTTGAGGACTGTTGTGTTTGTCTCTGTTCCTCATTCCTACTTCTGAAAATAAAGATTGAGTAGCAGAGAGAGGGGAGACCTGAGGGTATAAAAATCATAAGATCAGAGTGTTTTTGAACATACAGAATTCTTATGACTACATTTAATATTAACATATTTGTATGCGGGGGAGAATGTATAAGAATTTGGCCATGTGCGGTGGCTCACACCAGTGGCAGCACTTTGGAAGGCCAAGACAGGTTGATCACCTGAGGTCAGGAGTTTGAGATCAGTCTGACCAACAAGGTGAAAACCCATCTCAACAAAAAAATACAAAAATTAGACAGGTGTGATGGCGCATCCTTGTAGTCCCAGCTACTTGGTAGGCTGAGGCAGGAAAACCTCTTGAACCCGGGAGGCAGAGGTTGCAGTCAGTCCAGATTGTGCCATTGCACTCCAACCTGGGTGACAGAGCGAGACCTTGTTTCAAAAAAAAAAAAAAAAAAGAATTTGCCGTAGTCAAGAACACATTTGAGTAAATGTACCAGTTTTGGTGTTAGAGTTAGTTTGCTAACTGGCAACTGTAAGAAGTACTCCTCCAATTTTGGTGGCTTCACATTTTAAAAACTTTATTTTTCACCTATGTAAGAGTCCAATCTGGGTTTTTAGATGGTGTCGCATTTCTCCACATCATGAATCAAGGATCCAGACTCATTCCATATTACAGCTATGTCTTCTCCTAAGAGGGATGAGACTAGTAAGAAGATGCTTCAGCTTCTCAAAAGTCTCGCTCCCCAAATCGCACATTCACTCTGCTCACATTCCATTGCAAGAACTCATCACATGGCACAAGTAACTACAAGGAATCGTGGGAAATGTAGTTTAGCTTATGACTTGGAAGAAGAGAAAAAAAATTTTGGCCAACAGCTAGCAGTCCTGCCTTAAATATTTAAGAATTTAAAAATATTATTTATGACCAGGGTCACTCTTAGCTTACAGAGTACTTTTGCACAAAGCAGAAAAAAATATATAGCCTTGCACGAGCAAGGTACAATAAATATAGCACTCTCTTAAGCTGGCTATTCATGCCTTGCTCAATGGTGCAGGATGATGCT